TGCCTTATGAACAAGGTGTGGTCTCCTTGACTCTGCCGACAACCTAGCTTGATCATAACCTTTGTAAATCTTTCAAACCATGCACGGGGTGATTGCTTTAGTCCGTAGAGTGCCTTCTTCAGTCTGCATACCATTCCCTTCTTGCTTTCAAAACCAGGTGGTACCTCCATATAGATCTCCTCATCTAAATCTCCATGTAGAAAAGCATTTTTAACATCAAATTGCTGTATCTTCCAATTAAAAATCACAGCCAATGACAATAAGATCCTCACTGTGTTCATTTTTGCCGCTGGGGCAAAAGTCTCCAAATAATCAATTCCATAGGTCTGTGTGTGACCCTTTGCTACCAAACGGGCTTTAAATCTTTCTATAGACCCATCTGACTTGTATTTCACGGTAACACCCATCTACACCCTACCGCCTTTTTCCCTTTTGGTAATTCCACCATTTCCCAAGTTTTATTCTTCTGCAATGCTTCCATTTCTACCTTCATTGCTTCTTCTCACTCTTTGTTACCTAATGCTTCAGATAAATTTTTTGGAACAGGAATTGTGTGGAGGTTACTGAGAAAAGCTTTATGGCTTGGGGATAAGTTTTGATATGTCAAGGAAAGGCACAAAGGGTGTTGTGTGCAGGTTCTGGTTCCTTTTCTAAGTGCAATGGGAAGGTCAAGGTCATTTGGTTGGTTATGATCTTCTTTATGATCAGTTTGGTTTGGTGTTTCTGATGGTTCAACAGGTTCAGGATAGGTATTAGGAGTAGTAACATGAGGAGATAATTGTGGTTGAGTAGTTTGATCAGTTACCCTCTTTCTTCTGGAATAAACCTGCAATGGTGGATTACTTTCTTGAATTCCTTCATCTATATCAAGATTAGAAGACTCAATAGGTTCATTAGGATTTAGAGACTCAGATGAGTGAAGAGATGGTGACTCGGGCAAGGACACAGATAAGGATTTGTCATGGCTAGGAATAGACAAATCAAGTAGTGATAAGTCTAGAGATCCTTTTCCATCCAATGACTCCCCCTGAATGTAATAATTTTTAAAACATGACTCACTTTCATCAAATGTGACATCAGCTGAAACAAAAAACTTCTTGGTTGATGGTTGGTTACACTTATATCCTTTTTGAGTAGGAGAATATCCAAGAAAACACACTTAAGAGCACGTGGATCTAATTTGCCTATATTCTGAGAATGAATGTGAACATAGGCAATACTCCCAAAGATTCTAGGAATCAATTTACTTGAATTTTCGAAATTCGGGAAGAAACTCCTAAGAGTATCAAGTGGGCTTTTAAAATTCAGAATTCTTGATGGTATTCTGTTACTAAGGTATGCAGCAGTTAGGACAGCTTCCCCCCAATACTGATTTGGAACCCTTTTGTGAAACAATAGTGATCTAGTAATGTCAAGTAACAAACCGTTTCTTCTCTCCGCTATCCCATTTTGTTGAGGAGTATTGACACACAAGGATTCATGAATAATTCCCTCCTTTTTGAAGAAAACAGAGAGGTTTTGATTGAAGTAGTCCTTGGCATTATCAGAACGGAATCTTTTAATTGTCACATCAAATTGGGTTTTGACCAGATTAAAAGAGGTAGGAAGAACATGGCTGACATCTGATTTTTGCTTTAACAAATAGATCCACGTTACTCTTGTACAATCATCAATGAATGACACAAACCATCTAGCACCAGAAATATTAGGAATGGAAGAGGGTCCCCAAACATCACTATGAATAAGAGAAAATGGAGTCTGACATCTTTTGTTGCTTATTGGAAACGAAACACGTTTATGTTTTACAATTTCACAATCTTCACGATGAAAAGATTCAACAACCAAATCTTTGAATAAAGATGGAAACATTAGCTTGATTACATAAAAAGAAGGATGACCTAAGCGACGATGATAGAGCCAAACTCTCTCTTTATTGGACATAACATATTCAGACAAGAATGAACTAGATAAGGAATTCTTAATTGTATCTCCACCATTGTGAAAATCCAGAAAATAAAGACCACCTTTCTCACTAGCACGCCCAATCATCTCCTTCGTGTCCTGTATCTGAAATGCACAATATGAAGAGAAAAAAGTTACTTTGCATTTGGAATCTTTGGTGACTTTGTGGACAGAAATGAGATTTGCAAATAACTTTGGGACATGAAGAACATTCTTAAGTATCAAAGACTTTCCCAGTTGTATGTCTCCTTGGCCAGCTACAGTAATAACTGAACCATCGGCTATAGTTATTTTTTTATAGCTAGGGCAAGGTGAATATGATATAAAGAGATGGGAGGAACAAGTCATATGATCAGTTGCCCCGGAATCAACCACCCACATTGGAGAAAATTTGTCTCTAACATTAGCAACAAAAGTGGAAGAAATACCTGCAAAGGCCATTGAACAACTACCTGCCGAAGATGATATCTCCAGAGATTCCAGCAATGTCTTCAATTTCTCAATATCTTCTTTGTTGAATTCTGGGACTAATGGATTTTTTTTCATCAATCTGAGGGTTGCTAGCAATGTGTGCCTGCTTTCCATCAAAAGTATTTTTGGTTGGAGGTTTACCATTGAGTTTCCAACATCTTTCTCTCGTGTGCCGGTACTTTTTGCAGTAAGTGCAGTAAAGATTGTCCCTGTTGACAAGCGGTTTGAATGAACTTGCGGGCTTGACGGTGCTCTTCAATTGTGAAACTTCAGACTCCTTATTATTTGTCCCTTTTGTCATAAGAGCCGATCCTTCATTTATTTGAGTTTCAAGCATAACACTCCTTCGTCCTTCCTCTGTCCGTATAATGGCCATTGTCTCATTCAATGATGGCAGATCTTCTTTCCCTAAAATTTGCACTCGTACAGCATCAAACTTTGCATTTAGCCCCGCAAGAAATTCATAAATCCTTTCTTTTTCAATAAATCTTTTCAAAATTACAGCACCGTCTGTGCAACGCATTTGAATGCATTGATAGTGATCCGTCTCTTGCCATAACCACCCCTATAAAAGGTTAGAATATTCAGTGACAGATCGAGCTCCCTGTTTTGTTGCATATAATTTTGTTTTTATTTCATAGATCCTGGCAGCATCATGAACTTTAGAGTATGTCTCCTTCACTGCATCCCAAATTTCCTTAGCAGTATTCAGAAACATAACGGTATCACTAATTTCTGGAAGCATGGAGTTCCATAACCATGACATCACCATTGAATCATGTTCATCCCATGCATCAAACTTGGGGTCTTCTTTAGATGGTCCTGTACCGAGGAGATGTCCTAATTTCCCTTTACCTTTTAGAAAGGTACGAACAAGCTGAGACCATTTTAGATATTTTTTCCCATTCAACCGATAAGAGGCTTGGATATTTTGTAAATCTCCAATTGAAACTGTAGAACTATGCTCTACAGTGGCAGAAACAATTTCAGAGACTGGAGTATTTGCAATAGTACTCTTTTCGGACATGGTTTTCAAATGGTTTCAACCCTTGGGCGGATAAAGAGGACAAATGTGATGAAAAGATGGATGAATGAAAACAAATCAGTCAGGAATAAGCCTAACGCTCTGATACCATGTGGAAAGAGTAAGAAACTTGAATAATTTCATTCATGTCTTTGAGTGTCATATACATGGCTTTATATACAAGAAGAGGTTAGAAACAGAATCATTTAAATCCCATAAAATAGGGGATTATACAGAATAAAATAAAAAAAGAATCAGAATTTGATATTCTAGATTACAACAATTATCTCTAAAATCTTAGAGGATCAGATCTTGATATGGACAATATCTTCTTGGGAATCCTCTATCATTCAACAGTAATAGCAGGAAAATATTTCTGAAAATTGACCCACCACTTTTTATTCTGGACAAAGGAATCCTGTCTAATTCACTAATTCGGGGGAAGATACTGAATTTTTGTAGTTGAAAAAGATTTCCGGAATGATAATTGGGTAGGACATGGTCCTCTTAGAGACATATCCAGATCTGTTCAGTTTAGCCTCTTCACTTGAAGCTACCATTGAAGATGCATGGAGTCAACAGGGTTGGAATCTTGTTTTCAGAAGATTATTGAATGATTGGGAGATTGAGAGGGTGGTTGGTATTCCAAAGACACTAAAGGTTTTTCATGGTGTTAGCAATATGGATGATTCACTGCATTGGAATGGGAGCAGCAACAAGAAGTTCCCGGTAATGTCAGCTTATCATCTCTTGTCAGATTCTTCTCACACAGGTTCTGATTGGCCTTGTAACTCCATCTGGAAAGTCAATGCTCCATTCAAAGTTGTCTGTTCACTTGGTTGGTGGCTAGGAAAGCATGTTTGACACATGAAAACCTCCAGAAAAGAGGGATTTCGTTGACCTCCAGGTGTTTCTTGTGTCGAGAGCAAGCAGAAAACAATAGCCATTTATTCCTTCATCGTAGGGTCACTTGTATCTTATGGCAATGGTTTTTGTCCTTGGCTGGGATCAATTGTGTAATGCCTAGAGATACAAAGGATCTGTTGGGGAGCTGAAAGAATGCAGCAGGTAGTATCGGACAGAAGAAATGGTGGAATGTGTTCCTGCCTGCATTTGGTGGACTGTATGGCAAGAAAGGATCGCTAGGTGTTTTGAAGACAATTCTTGATCTATACAGAAAATCAAGATGAAGTGCTTTTTGTCCTTTCTTTTCTGGTGTAAAGAAAATTATGTAGAGGATATAGAAACTTCTTTTGAATTTTTTGAAGCCTTGTAAGATGAACAATGCCTTTTGCAATTGTAAATACCTGTTACCTTTCTAAAAGAAAAAAACTATTCTGCTAATGGAAGCAAGATTCTTTTTTCAGTTAAAACATTCACTTGTTTTACTTTGTAGTTTATTCATTTAAAGCAAGATTCACTTGTTTTATTCTGGTTAAACAATTTTTAGGGGACCTATGTGAGAGTTCTGATATGCTTAATTAAGATGTATTTGGTAGTTCTTGTTAGCCTCAAGAACCGATCCTAAATGGCAGTTTTGTAGGCGTGGTTCGAGTGACATTGGCAAATTGGGCTGTGCTTCTTTAACTGTCTGGAACATGAGGATGTGGAAGGCTATGGTATGTTCATATTCTGGGTCCCAGTTGTATCCAATGCTGAATTTTCAATACTATTACTTTCCCTTTCAGCAAGAGGATTCTCAAGCCTAACTTTCTTCAAACTTTATTGAAGACAGTCCTTCCTCTTGGCGAAGATCCACCTGCAATTACTTCAGTATGCTTCAATCACAATGGAAAACTTTTAGCAGCTGCAGCTACTGATGGAATGATACACATGTTTGGTATCCTTGTCTGAACTAGTGAATATAGTGTGTCGATGTCCTCTCTTATACCTTGCATTAGAAGCCTTTGAATTTATTTCGCATTGTCTCTGCCTATTTCTCTCTCTGGATGATTGTGAGTAATGGTGTTTAGGGAAGGAACCTGTTCAGTTAGTTGAGATGCTTTCATAACTTCGCTGGCCTCCATAGCCAGCATAACCTTAACAAGGTGATAGATATGTCTGCTGGCTTGCAAATTACTNTCTGCCTATTTCTCTCTCTGGATGATTGTGAGTAATGGTATTTAGGGAAGGAACCTGTTCAGTTAGTTGAGATGCTTTCCTAACTCCGCTGGCCTCCATAGTCAGCATAACCTTAACAAGGTGATAGATATGTCTGTTGGCTTGCAAATTACCGGATGGCCGGCACATGATTCTGCAATTAGTTCTGTTTTGTTTGGTTCTGATGAGACAAGCATTTTCACTTTGGGTATAGATGGAAAGGCAAGTTATTCAGCAGTCACCAAATCCACTTTATTTTTCTTTCATGCATTTGAGTGCTTCTCCATATATGTACGGTTATCTCCTTGCTGAAAGCTTTGCTTTGTTAGCTGCATTGTGAAGAATCTAACTCAGTAGCTTGTGAAGCAGATATTTGAGTGGAGTTTGCAGAATCAAGGCAAAGTACTTTGGTCAAGAGAATGCAGCAGGTAAATATGGATTGTTTAATCCTTTAGTTTTGGTTTTTCATTCTTGTATGACAATTCCACTTAACTAGCAAGGTTTTTCTAGCCCTAGCCTCATGCATGCGCATCTCACATGGTATTTGTGAGAAACATTGACACGGAAAAATATATTATTGATGTGTTTAAACTATAATACAAGGACTCCTATTTATAACAATACACAATATATACATTACTCCTATTCCATGTGGGATTATATTTACATGAACTAACTCTAATATTCCCCTCAAGCTGGTGCATATAAGTTATATGTACTAAGCTTGTTACATACTAATACGAGGACCCTTGAGAGATTTGGTGAAAATATCTGCAAGTTGATTATTTGACTTCGCAAACTTTGTAATAACATCTCCTAAGAGAATCTTCTCTCTGATGAAGCGAAAGTCAATCTAGTCCTTGTATGGAACATTGGATTTAATGCAATATGAAGGGCAACTTGATTATCATACACAAATTTCATCTGGCTGATTTCTTCAAATTTTAATTCTTTGAGCAACTGCTTGATTCAAACTAGCTCACATGTTGTCATAACCATGACTCAATATTCTGCTTATGCGCTCGATCGAGCAACTACATTCTATTTCTTGCTTTTTCAAGAGACAAAATTACCTTCTACTAAAACACAATATCCAGATGTAGAACGTCTATTAGAAGGTGATCCTGACCAATCAGCATCTGTGTATCCAATAATATGCTCGTGGCCGCGATCCTCAAATCGTAATGCTTTGCCTGGTGCTGATTTTATATACCGAAGATTGCGAGACTTACAACAATCATAGGAAATGAAATGTCAGGTCTAGTCAGTATGAGGTAATTCAATTTTCCAACCAATAGTCTATATCTCGAAGGATCGCTAAGAGCTCCCCCTGTCCTGGCAGAAGAGCTTAGCATTCAGATCCTTGGGAGTGTCAACAGGTCTGCAGCCCATCATTCCTTTCTCCTCAAGAATATCTAAAGTATATATTTTTGTGAAATAACAATATTTGAGCTAGACTGAGCGACCTTAATACCTAGAAAATACTTTAATCTACCTAGATCCTTAATCTGGAAGTGCTGAAAGGGATGTTGATTCAGATTTGTAATTCCATCCTGATCATTGCCAGTAATAGCAATATTATCAACATAAACCACCAGATAAATGCACAGATTAGGAGCAAAATGCCGATAAAACACAGAGTGATCAACTTCAATACGAGTCATGCCGAACTCCTAAATAACTGTGCCGAACTTACCAAACAGGCTTGAGTAGATTATTTCAAACTATAGAGTGACCTGTGTAATCGACATACAAGACTACTAGACTCCCCACTAAGCAACAAAACCAGGTGGTTGTTCCATATAGACTTCATCCTCAACATCACCATGGAAAAAGGTATTCTTAATGTCCAATTGATAAAGAGGCCGATGACGAACAACAATCATGGACAGAAAAAGGCGAACAAATACTACTTTAGCCACGAGAGAGAAAGTGTCACTATAATCAACAACATACCCATTATAATTCCACGAATGAGGTCTTGGGAGGGTAGTGTGTACGCAGACCTTACCCCTACCTCGTGGAGGTAGAGATGCTGTTTCCGAAGACCCTCGACTCAAGGACCAAATGAAAAGGAGCAGTAGCAATAAGTAACAACATCAATATATAAACAATAGCGATACAGTAAATAACTGAAGCAAAATAAATAACATGCAGAAATATAGCTCTACGAACAAGAAAAAAGAAAAAAAAGACTACAAGACTAATACTACTGCCACTAGGATGACAAAGGAATACACCCAACTACCCCCTAACCTTCTACCCTAATCCTCGACCACCACACCCTCCTATCTAGGGTCAAGTTCTCAGTAAGCTGAAGTTTCTTCATATCCTGCCTAATCACCTCACCCCAATTCTTCTTAGGCCTACCTCTATCTATCCTCATGCCACCACAACCAATCTCTCACAACTCCTCACGGGGGCATCAACAATTTTCCTCTTCATATGAGATTAAGACTATTTACACATAACTATCTAACAAGGACTAAACACATTGAAATTGATTGTCATTTTGTGAGAAAAAAGATACTCTCAGGAGATATTGTTATACAGTTTGTGAAGTCGAGTGATCAGCTTGCAGATATTTTCACCAAGTCCCTTACTGGTCCTCATATTAGTTATATTTGTAACAAGCTCGGTACATATGATTTATATGCACCAGCTTAAGGGGGAGTGTTAGATAGTTAGCAGAAAACTAGCTATATAGTACTATGTAAACATTATATACGAGTAGGGCTATTGTAAAAACACTTAAGACATCAATAATATAATTTTTTTCATTATTTCTCACAAGTACATTTCTTCAAAGGCTTCTCCACTTGCATGGATAATTGTATAGTTGTGGGTGGAGTTATGTCTTTTACTAAAAAAGTGGTCATGCACTGAGGGGTCGTTTGGTACGCGGGTTAAAGTGGGATAAGGTAAGGGATTAGATTTATATCATGTTTGGTTGACGCTATAAATTTATCCTGGGATAAATTTATACCATAAACCAAACATGGTATAAATTTAATCCCAGACTTAATACTGGATATCCCACATCATCCTCCCTTATTCCATCAAACTTGGGATTATTTTATCCCACCTCCCAGGGGGATAAAATAGTTCAAGGATTATAATCTTGAGATTATTATCCCGGGATAACTTAGTTCGCTTACCAAACGACCCCTGAGAGTTACTATTGTCAAAGAAGCTAACTCGTCTACGCTCATCATAATGCAAGCTTTAAAACTTTTAGGATAGTGACATTTACCTTAAGGGGAATCGTGTGGTGCTTGTGAAGGATGTACGGATATTTAGTAGGTTTCATTGGCAAGCAGTGAAAACTCATATCCATCTCATTTTGGCATGGTGCTAGTACACTTTATGAAGGTTTTGATGAGTAAAGATCAATTCTCTCTATTCAATAGGCAGTGAAGAGAACGAAATGGTTAGGTTGACATGAAGTCTCCTTCAAACTGTTCATACTAGCTCTGTGGGATGATTCAGCCATAAATTCTTTGTTTTCTATAAAACTGCATAAATAAGTTGTTTGGACCTTCGAACTGTATACTAACTGTGGAAAGAATAAAAGAAATATACATGAATCTTTTTGCTCGTACGGACTGTATTGTGCTTGAATATACTTTCTATCAAGTAGCAGGGTAATATCTGTTAAAATTTCTTCTTTTCCCCATTAAATTGTTCTCTAAGTTGAAAGATGTTCTCTTTCCCTGTGTTGTTGTAGAATAAGACTCTTGACATCTATTCTTTCCTTGTTGCAGATTATGTAACCTTCAGAATTCGTTACACTATAAGCATGAAATGGCTCTCGATGCTGATGGAAGAAGACTTCTGGTGACATCCAACTCCCTGAGAGCGCCTATTTACCAGGTGAATTTGTTTCACTCTGATTGATGTATTTAGGTCCCTTTGCCTTGATTGTCTCAGAGCTTAACTATTTGTTCATAAGCTCTAGGTTGGCCTCTATCTGAAAATGGAGATCACTTGTGGGGATCACTGAATTGTCCCATCAGTAAACCAATTGGATCTCTCTTTTAATAGTTGTTTATGAGTATTTAACAAGTACTGTTGGGAATAGCACTGCACATATGGTGTCAGAAGGCATAGGAGCAGTCTGATAAGATGTAGTTTCATCGGTCCTTGCTATGCTATGCCCCCTCTTCATTTCCAGTTACTGTTATTTCTTGCCTTGGTGGTTTACTTCAGTTTAAAGATTTTTTGACTATAAATAATTCCTCTTAATTGTCTTAGGTCCGCGGTCATGCATATGGGATGAGAAGTCTTCCTCACACTGCATCTATAACAACAGTAGACTGGCATCCGACGTCGCCCATCTTCTTGACTGGATCTGCAGATCACTCGGTTCGGGTTACATCTATGGCATGACAGCTTCTGGTTTCTCTTGTGAGTTGTTGTTTTGTATAGTCCAATGAATAGAAAATGTAAATTTTATTTTGTTATCCAGTGTGTCTATGTGGACCTTGAAAGCTATCTGTCCAATTTTAAGTTTTGATTACAACCATTAGTCAAAGGCATCATTGAAAGCAACAGTAGAATATAAAGGTGCTAGCTTGATGTAAATGAGGCTTACGGAAATATTAACAGGAAAAGAGGACAGAAGAAGGGAGGTCTTGCTTGAGTAATCTTTCCTTATTTGAATGTGTAAAAAAGCTTTAATGTTTATCTAAAAATGATTAAGATTTTTTATTTGTATAAATTCTTACTTTTTTAAATAGGTAACGTAATTATAAAATCGTGAAACTTGAAAGTACTACCCGTACCAAAATCAACTCCTTTTGGAATAGCGATCTCTGTACAATACTCCAATACTTCTTGATTTATAGTTATTTATTCAATAATAAATATAGTTAGTTATTTAAAGAAAAGTTAATAGAAAAAAGATATGGGCGTATTAGCAGCCTATCTATATGAATATTAACCTTGGAAAACTTTTACCGCTATGATAAAGTAGGCTAGACACATTACACCTTGTTTGGATGGTTGATACCTATTGTATTGTATCGTATTGTTACTTTAAATACTATGCTTGTTTTGGTTGTTATTTAAATTTTATTGTATGGTATCGTTAAATTTGTCGTTACGTAACGACGGAATGTGCCACTTTATGTAACGACCGATTTGGTGTGGTTGTGTTGTTATTTTGTCTTTTTTTCTCATCTCACCCCTCATTATTATTAAATAATTTTATTTTATTATTTACCCTACTTTTTATATAATAAATTTATCCCGTATCATAATTTTTCTTTATAATATTGCAAGTTTATTCTTCATATTGCCGTGGTGTGATATCATGAAACAACAAAAAACGATACAATCTATCCAAACATTGTATTCATCAAACGATACAATATAGTACAATACAATATAATACGATACATTATGAAATGATGTGTAACAACCCTCCAAAGAAGCTGTTAGTTTTGCCTTTTCAAAAACTGATTATAAATTATATTTATACATCAAACTTTATAATGAAGCTTTATTAAAGGTGTTAATATATCAATAATTCGGTACATATTACCTTTCAACGACATATATAAATTATAAAATATTTAATTTTTATATTTGAACTACTTTCCTACTCAAATTATATTTTTTATTCATCAACTTTTTCTTGCAATATTTGAACACTACACTCAATAATTAGAACGAGAAACCAAGAAAGTATTTAAGAATATAAAAGACAGAAATCCAAAGTAGTTGAAGAGTCAATAACACTAATAGTTCTACAAACACAAAAAAGTGAAATATTAAATCAACTTTTTACCATTTGAAAATATAAAAGTTCGAGTGAATAAAATTATAATTGCACTTATAAATAGAAAATTAAGTCAACATTAGTCATTTATAGACTAGCATTTTTACTTAGCAACTTTTTCTAGGAGCTACAAGGCTAACCTCTTCATTCAAATCTCAAATCAAACTAACAGATCTTTGAAGAATCGTGCATATGTTTGTTTTCATTACTAGGAAATAGAAACAGTGACAATTATCACTAGATTATATAAGTTTTTAGAAATAACAAAAAGATATGGAGACTTTTGCGCGACATAATTTCTTTCCTTTTTCTTTAATTGTTACTGCTTTATAAGTTAAACACATTATTTAATAATATTTATATAATTTTTTAGTATTAACTACATTGATATAGGGGTCACGGGCAAAACGGGTAGACTAGTTGATCTAAAAATACAGGCGACATTATTTTTAAACCTAAAGCAATCACGTTTTAAGGTGCCGCATGTGGGCCACAAAATTGATGCGTTGTCATTTTTTTAAACTGGGCCATGCAGCTCTCCTGTTCAACCAAATTTGAGTATAATATTCGCCCTAGGGTAGGCATCGGTCGATTCAGTTCAGCTGTGAATGTTATCGATTTAGCATATCGGTTATCGATTTATAAATATGCTAAACCGATAACCGAATCGATAGGATATCGATTTTCGATTATCGGTTAATCGGTTATCGATCGTTATCGATTTACCCGATAAGATAACTCAATCTCGATTCTATTAGAAGAAGTAATGAAAGATAATGTGTACTGTATAAACAATATGATAAACTTTCTCAATTGTTGTAACCCTCTCAAAGAATATAATAAACCTTATAACATTGCTTCTCTGTGTGTTGAATGACAAATTTGGGAGGGTTAGAACAATAGATAGAGAATTGGGAGAATTGAAAAATTTATATATCTAAGGGTAAAATCATATTTTTATAAAGTTTATTGGGTTATCCGTTAAACTGTTAAAATATTGGGCAAACCGAGACTCGAACCGATAACCTAATAATAAAATAACACTAAATCGTTAAATCAATAGCCCGAAACCGATAATCCAATAAGCTTTTTTCGGTTCGGGCTATCGGTTTTACCCTATATATGCCCGGCCCTAATTCGCCCCATTAACTGAACTCGACCTTGTTTTTTGTTACCCGCGTTAAAAATAACCCTTAACCACACCAACCAAACTCCTCTCTTTCCATTTCTCTTCTCGTTTGGTCTGAGGTCGTTCAGATGGCAATTTTAGGGTTCCAGTAAGGTTAGTTGGTCGCTTTGATTTGGTGGACGAAATTGAAGAATCTTTCATATTTAGCATATCTTGCAATCTTTTTTCGATTAATGTAAGTGTTTACAACTTTAAGTTTAAAACTTATAGGGTTTGTTAATATTTGGGAACCTGCAACTATTGTCTCTTTCTTGGGGTTTAATATGTTATCTGATTTATTTTCTGTACATTTATATATTTGTTTTACACTCTTGTTTGTGGTTGTCCATGTCCTCTTTGTCCGATATTTAACAACTATGGGTTTTTTGGGATTTGTATATCTGTTATTGGTAGTTTCATTTTTTCTTTACTGCTTGATATATTTAGACTTTATGCCTTGGATACCGCTGATGTGATCCCTTATTCCTTTATTTTTTGTTGTTGCATGTGGATATATCTAAAGAATGATGATAAAGTGAACTTCTATTTTAATCATGGGGATGTCTGGGAATTGGTACCTAAGCTATCTTATTCTAAAAGAGATGTGCACGTGTTGAGTAGGTATGAAATAGACCATCTTTCTAACATTGATTTGTGTAGAGAATTCTGAGATACTACGAGTAGAAAATCAGGCAAAGAATCATATAATTAAGGCAGAGATTTAGATCCAATGATTTCCATTTGAGATTCTAAAAGATTACCTCTTGATTGGTATTGCAATAATCTTGGTTGAAAGGATTTTGTGGATCTTAATTGTTATTGCATTTGATTCTAATAATAAGAAGATTCTAGTATTAGAGGTGGCCTATAAATAACACTTTTGAACTCACTGTAAATCATCTTGAAGAGAATAACAATTTTCTCCTTGAGATTACTCTAAACACTTGTTTCTTTCTGTTGGCTTTGTCGTGAGCAAGATTTCTTTGATAAGACTATTCGTGAAATAGTCTTCTATTCATCTAATTGTTTTCTTGTTTATTCGTCCTACATCAGTTATGGTATTCGAGCCCAGGTTCAACGGGGCGGGTATGACGATGACAGAGTGATGGTGCGAGACTCGGTTTGGATACGCGCATACAATAAGAAGCTAGTTGTGGCTTCGGTCGCCATAAACATTCTAACGATGTGGGTGGCACACAATGAATCTCAAAAATTGACTCGTTGATTGTGGCAATGGGCCACATGGAACTTAGTTCAAGGGGAAGAACCGTGAATCATGATAGTGAGCCACGTGGAACTTAATTCAAGTGAGATATTGTTGGATACTGTGCGAATAAAGTCCTACATTAGTAGTTGAATAGATTGGGAGCCTACATATAACGTGTATGGATCTCTTAATGGGGTGAGGCCTTTTGAGAAAATCCGTGTGGGTTTGGCTCAAAGCGGATATTATCATACCACGTTAAGAGTATCTTTGGGTCGTTTTAACCCAACAACTGGTATTAGCGCCAACACTTTTCCTATGGCTAACAGAGCAACTGGAAGATCCCGTGACAACTAGATAGGAGGAGATGATCAAGGAAATCAAGTAACTACCGTTACTGCTACTTCCTTGACCTTCCAAGAGGAGTTTCGCGCGCTGCGGGAATATCTTGATCGTAGATTAGACTAGATGAATCTACATATAGATTTTCATAATACAAGTAGGATGCCAAGGGTTGAAGCTGGGGAATTTGCCCAAGCATCACATGCTGAAGGACGTGACATTGTTCGTCCACATCAACGACAAGCCATTTTAGAAGACACGGAGGACGAAGACGAAGAAAATCTTGAGTTGTTCAACGGGGGAGAGGAAATCAACAACGTCAAACTGCACAACGATTTCCTCAGAATGAGGAGTTTCGCCTAAAAGTAGATATTCCTACTTTTGCTGGCAATCTGAATATTGAGGGGTTCATGGATTGGATTGCAGAAGTGGATAGATTCTTTGACTATATGGAGATTCCTGAGGAGCATAGGGTCAAACTAGTAGCTTACGGGTTAAAGGGTGCAACATTTTCCTGGTGGGAATGTCTACATGACACAAGACGTCGTGAAGGAAAGGGTCAAGTTCGTACTTGGTATGGAATGAAGAAACTGCTCAAGGGTCGATTTTTGCCCCTAGATTATGAGCAATATTTTTTTTTGCAGTATCAATGGTGCAGCCAAGGTAACAGATCTGTGCATGATTATACTACTAAATTCATGAGGCTTGCTAAACGCAATAATGTGATGGAGTTTGATAGCCAACAAGTAGCTAGATCAATGAATTAAAGCCCGCAATACAGGAAAAGATTGGTGTATAGATGTTGGCAAATGTTGCCGAAGCACGAAATATGGCATTAAAGGCAGAGATGATGATGCAAGAGACGAAGGGAGATTGGAGCAGGAAGAATTGCTTTTCATCCGCACCAACGACTGTTGACCAGGATGCACCCACCTATAATTCCCAGAAACAAGCAGAACAAAATTTGCTAATGATAGAGCTGCTGGTAAAAGACCAGTGAATGGAGCACACAAGCAAACACATGTGAATCCATATGCTAGACCAACTACTGGAAAGTCCTACGGTTGTCATCAAACTGGGCATAACTCTAGTGATTGTCCACAGAGGAAGGGAATCAACATAGTAGAGCGAGGAGAACACATAGAAGATGGTGATGAATT